ATGTGTGAGCGGTGATCCCCACGAAAGCAAAGCCTCGGCAGCAACTTTCCCTGGACGATGAGCGACGAAACACGCGCATTGCGAGCGACCGCATCATGGTGGAGAACTATTTTGGGAGACTCACCAAGTTGTGGCGTGTGTGCTCTGACAAGTTTCGCTGGAGTAAGGACTTCTACGATCCAATTTTTCGAGTCTGCGTTGCTCTTACCAATGCCAACGTGCGCTACCATCCACTTCGCGAAGAATATGAGCAATTCTATCGGCGCCGATTGAACAAGTATGCGAGTATTGCTGATGACATTTCGCGAAAGCGAATGCTGACGCAGTCAAAGTACCGCAGCAATCACCGCCTTCGTCTCAAAACAGGTATCAACGTCATCTGCAGCTCCGAGTAGGTAGTATAAACATGGTTGAAGAAGAGACTGCATTTTCACTTGAATTGTGTGTCTTTTCTGAAATCCATTGATCTTTTGGAATAGACATGCTGATTCAAGTAACTGCCACGTCTTTGGAAAATGTGGTCAATCCTGGCAGGCCCAAATGCACTCTGCACAGACGCGCGTCCAATCACAAATGCAGTTAGTCTTTTCAATAGGATTCACTAATTGGCAATTCTTCAATAACTGCATGGGCGATCTAGTGAACTCCGGGAAAAGCTGACATGGTTTCATCCTGAAAGTGGATGGAGGAAGAATAAAATCAATATGTTCAAATTCCGTGAATTAATCCGACTTGATTGGCTATAACTAGAAGATTTTCAGTCAATCAATCTCCGTTATTCTTATATCTGCACTTCAATTGGTCAAAAGGAATGGCATTTCCCTCTTAGTATGAACAGGTGGCAGCATTTTTAAAAACGATCATGTTTTGGACGTAGTCGGTTGTTTCGGGGGCTTTTCCGGAGTTCACTGTCATTGGAACGAGTCGCGTTGGCAATGGCATCCATGCAACCGAGACTGCTCTCGGTAGCTGGACGTAGCTGCGGCCAGGACGAGCATACAGGCATCGCATCTCGCGCCAAGGCGAGTGCACCGTGCTGTGCCGCTACACTCTTTACAATAACACTGCAATCGATGCATTAGGTGGACATTGGATAGCGGTCCTGTCTACGCTGCTTGGTCGCTTGCAGTGGGTTCGGCGGGGACACGGGAAGACGGACCGACGAGTTCCGCCATGCGGGTGAACCATGGCTCCAATGCCGTGTTGGCCATCACGTCTTGGAATGTATCCAGGCCGACGATAGACCGGTAGACGCCAAAGACAGACACGTCTGTCAGGTTTGGGTGGTCGCCACCTAGAAACGGCTTGCCGTTCATCGCTGCCACCTGCAACGACACGGCAATCCCACACGTTAGAAGGTCAGCGGCAGCTACAATATCGAGCACTTGCCCAGCCATTTGTGACTTCGTACAGCGCCAATCGCTCGTCGTCGAATCCGTACTTCTTCTTGAGCCGCTTCGAGATGAAGTACATGGCCGCTGCACCAGTGTACAAGCTCACGCGACGCTCCCACGCTGTAAAGTTGCCTTCCTTGAGGCAGTACTGGAACGCTTGGAGCGCTTCTGGCACCGTGCGGTAGATATTGGGCGGCATCAGCACCACCTACTCCAAACACCATCCATGACATGTGGCTATTTCAAAAGGACAAGGCGTACGAGCTTCATGTCGATCCATTCGTTCCACTCCTTCTCGACAGCGTCGTACTGGGACGTGGACTGCAGCCGCGCAATGATGTCGGACGAATTGGGCACGACCTATGCATGGAAATGATGGCTTGTTCCACGTGGAATGGTCGTGGTCACACCTCGCCGTCTACGACGGCCACAGGAACTTTGTTGTAGTCCGTGATGGCCTTCAGCTCCTTCTTCGTCACAGGGTTGACTTCCACGACGTTGTACGGGACCTTAAGAAAGTCGAGCACTGCTTTCGTCTTGCAGCAATACGGACACGGCTCGTACTGATACAGCGTCACTTTTGGGGTGGCAGCAGGCACCGCGGCCTTGGCGAGCGCGGGGTTTGAATACGCCGCCGTGGCAGCTGCACATCCCAACGCTGCCATCCCAGTCCACGGCACGGTCGCCTTCAAGCCCGCACAGCGTAGCCGATGCATCATGATCGTTCCAATGTGTCAGAAAACCGGCAACATCATGATTGGTTCGAGCGATTCCTAAACAGCGATTGGATTGGCTAAAATAATTTGCTCAATCTTATCTAATTCGTTTAAATTCAGGGTTTAACGAAGTATGATTGGATACATTGTCGAATTTCATATAAAATGTACCACATGATCCACGTGAAGCCGCCCGTACGAAGCAAGTCCATCACTGCGGGCGTGTGCAGGAGGTTAATGGCAACGCCAAGCGAAACAGCGCTGACATGCCCGCTCATAACGTTTCTCCATGCACTTGAATGAGGCAACTAGCGGGGTCTTGGCCGCATCGGCAAGCGTCCTCTACACATTGACGTCCACGGACAACGTCATAATAGAGCGTGCGGGTGGACACTGCAGGTTGGCGCACGTGCTTCTTGTCTAGCATACGCTTGATCGCACTAGGCATTCATCGTGGGCGAGCGCCACCGTAACCTAGGTTTCGCTTCCACCCGATCTAGAACTACATCCCCACCTTGTCGTACCCAGTGGCCGCAGGCAAGACCGCGAGGACAACTGGGGTGCGTGAACGAAACCCGAACGACTGACTATTCCCATGAGCACCAATGCATACCACAACTAGAAGATGGAGAAAGCTGCGGGTCCTTGGCCACCTGGGACATGTTTGGCATCTTGCTAGAGTCAGGCTGCAGGAAGGACTCGTGCATCATATCCGAGATTGGGATAGAAGACACGCATGGTTTTCATCAACTGCATTGAACTTGTACTGATGGAACGATGACTTGCCCTCCGTTGGCCATATTTGGACGGCGCCTACGCCGACGGCTTGCCATGTTTGAGAACCGCACGGCCGAGTTCCCCCACAAACGGGTTCGCTCCTTGCGCAGTCGCCACCCTGTTCCATGCTGCGTCAAGCCAATGCTCGTGATCACCACATGTACGCTTCCATACCCGTGCTGCAATTTTCGCATGCCATTGAGCACTTCCCGCGTCTTGGAGATGTACACACGATCCAAGTTGGAGCGAATATCGATCTCCATGTCTTCTACGAGGCGCCCCATGTTGCTCAAGTGGGCGGTCTGCGAGTCAAACTTCATCGTGCGCTCAGTCTACAAAGTGGAGTCGTGGGCATTTGGTCAAAGCTGCATGGATGCACGTGATCGACTTGATACGCAATAAGCAGCCCATCAGCGAACATCACAGGTCGTTTTTTATACCTGTCGCGTCAAGTTGGCATCCAAGTTCAAGTGTCCGAGTTCTTGGCGACGGCTGACGTTCATCGTTAAGAGCACCGTCGATGTGAGGGTGTATACGGCTTCCTTGTCGTTCTTCTCGTGGACTTCCAGCACATGGATGGAGTTCCACCCGCCTTCTTCGACGAATCTACATGAACATGGACGTGTCAGTGCATCCAGCACGCAATGGGAGAGAGCAACCTTTGGTGATGCACGTCCTTCTTGATTAGGATGCACGCAGCAAACCCTGGCTCGAGGTCCCACATGTAGACGGAGGACACCCCCCCTACGCACTCGTCACCATCAAGAGCTCTTACGAACAGAACACACCTTGGTAGTACATTTCTCGGTACACGTCAAACAGTTCGTTGGCTTGGATCTCGAGTTGCCGCAAGTTGTCGGACGGGACGAACCCTTCGCCGTCTTCAATGGGAGGGAAGTAAGCATTCGTCCACGGCGATCTGTACAGGATGTTAATCACATGTGCATCGTCGGAGCTGACTCTCTTACCTGTGGGAATCGCCATCCCTGTTGTAGTCGCAGAGCAAGAACGGACGCCCCGCCGTCGGATCTACAGCTTGGCCGAGCGGCTGATCCACGCGCTGATACAACTCATCTTCCAGGTCTGGCTGAAGCTGGCAGATGCCTGCCAAGTCCTTCGCGACGTTTCCTGGCGGCATGCGCCGAAGGATGTTCAAGCTCGTCGTCATTCCGTCATCGCTCATATTGGTGGGAAAAATCAATCTTTGCGGTGGAAAGTTTTGAAGTCGACGGTATCCGGATTATTGGTATTTCCGGATAATTGTGAGCGTGATCCGAGATGAAAATTGGCCGCGCACGCTTCGCCAAACGGGTGGACGTGTCAGTGAGGCTCTAGTGACGTGGGAGGGGCGAAGAGGTGCTCATCTCATGGCAAGCATAGGCGCTTCATGCAGCGCCAAGCTTTGGTTTCAATGACTTCAACAACGAACGAATGAATCGACTGGACG